CTCCTAATATTCTGTGATTCTGTGATACTTTAAGATCCCATTTTAACATCATCATCATGCCAAATCAGGGCATTATTTTTGTGAACGACGCATGTAATCTAAAAAAAAATAACTAGCTTCTGTTACTCTTCATCTATCTGGAGTAGAAATATAACAGAATTAAAACAGAAATATGCTTTTCATTATAAAACACTCTTACTTGTTTAAACTATCAAACAGTTACTACTTTGGGATTGGTCTTTTTATGAAAGGTAAAAACGTTTTTTTCATAAATTCTTTTTTTTTATATATATCCATAAAACCATTTCCCATCTCCTGCATTTTCCAACAGAAAAAAAGAGTAGAGATGGTCAGATGCATCTTTTCAAATTTTACATGAGTTTTTTAAAACAAACATATTTTACCTTACTAGAGGCAGCACTTCCAGATTTTCCAGACTCAGAGTCACTTTTAGAATCTGATTCTGACTTAGAATCTGACGAACTTTCTTCGGATGAACTGGACTCCGTATCAGAGGAACTAGATGTACTTCTCTTTTTGGAGATCCCCTTTGGTTTCTTTGTAATGTCCTCTGAACCACTACGTATCAAGAAAAAAAAACAAAAAACAAAACCAAACAAACAAAAAAACCAAGCAAACAACAGAAGAGAGACATATAAAACCACCAAAGGAATCCGCTTGGGCAGTATCTTATGTTAACATTTCAAAGTTGTGTTAAAAGAGTTTTTAAGTCAGTATTCCTTCACAATAAAAAAACTCAGCTAAGATGGCTGAGTAGCTTATTCAAGGGTACACAGAATTGTTCTGTGTACACAACAAATCATCACGTATAATCTAAACCAGCAAAGAAGCTAATGAAAAATGTCAACTTATTAAATATAAAAAAATATTATTTGCATGCATCAAGCTTTTGACATTTCAGAAAGAATTGCACTTTTTTATATAAGGAAAATTTCAAACTGTTCCACCTATGATTAACAAAATCCTGATGGGTTATAAGGTGTTTTTGCCAAGTACTATTACTTAAATAAAATAACCCATTGAATTTATTCCTTTGTTAATTTTTCTAAATCAAACAACCTAGAAATAACTCCTATAATATCTACAAATATTTCAACCCATTAAAGAGTTTATGCAGAAGAGCTATTACATACTGACACCTTTGGTCTTATTGGGTACCTTACAGACTTTAGAGAAGCAATTCTACACACAGTAAAGTTCTGTTCACCCTGGCAATACTGAATTACGTTGCTCTGTGCTAACAGCTACTGAATATTGCTAAAATCCGTCTCGTTCACTTCTAATAATACTATAACTGCCAATTAGCAGATTACCCTTTTGTCTCAGGAGGAGTTGCTACCTAGAAATATCATGGAAAGTGAAAATTGTTTTCTAATAGTTATCACAGGGCAGATAAATTAGTATTACATATAGAAAAATAACCACCTCCACTCTTGGATTTGTACGCAACCATTTTATACTTCCAAATCAGGTGTTTAATATAACATCTCATTCAGGTTCCTCCTCAAGACAATGAATTGGTTACTGAAGTGCTTGAAGGGTTACAAGGTCAACAATAATTAAACAAATCCAGACCACTCAACTATTAAAGAGTCTCTTCGGACTCAAATTAAGTTGTTATACATTTTTGCTTAGCTTTAGGAGCAGTATAGAAGAATGTACTATATTATGTTACTGTTTGAAATACCAATGTTTTTAGAAAAGAAAAAAATACAGAGAAGAGGAATTGAGAAATCTTATGTGACAGAAAGGAAAATAGTTACGGGCAATGCCTTCCTTCTCCCAGTAACTTCCCAGGACTGAATTGTCTAAATCAAATTTATTAAAAAATATTAGAATTCAATATTAACATTTAACCCATGCTAATAATGCCTACCCATGTAACTGAAGTTGAAACTAACCCCCCCAAATTTTAGTCAGCAGCTTTTCTTTCTGAAAGCTGCAAACTTGAAACTTGCAAAGCTAAAAATGAAACAAGAGTATACTTCACAAAAGCGGTCTAATGTAGCATATCTGATTGTTAAAATCAATGGTGAAAAAATAGGTACAGTCAAAATTATATTCCAACATAACAACATTAAAAAACTTGTTAGAGATCAATGAGCTAAACAAAAAAATTCACTAATGTATATTGTTTCAGGTTTCTTCATGATGTATAACACAAGTACTGACAAAATGATCTATATTTCCTTCATTGTCATTGGAAAAAAGCTGTAGGTGCATCAACAAGTAAGTTTTTGTTAAATGGAGTAAGTTGTTGTTCAACAACTTATTCTTAGCTTATCTTTAAAACTAGATTTGGAGATGAAAAATGTTACTTTAGTGTACATCAGCCAGTCTTGATGGGTAATCATTGTTTACCTTACTGCTTAAAATTTCAGATGTTAGTCTAATGAAAAGAATTTACTGGTAACTAGCTTTTTAACTTTGTGATGAAGAAAAGCCTGTATTAATTTAACCTACAGATTTCATTTGTTCTAACAAGAAAAACAATATAAATCACTTTTAAAATCATTAAATCTTGACTTAAATTAATAAAGTCATAATTAGGGCATTATGCTGTGTTTGTTATGGAAGTGGCAAGGCGAGCTGCTTTAATTACTGTCTGTAATAAAAGGAGCAGAGTGCGTACTGCGCCCCAATCAGCGCTGTCAGCCACGACTGAGCCGAGTTGCAAACTCATCAAGTGAGCTGGCAGCAGACCACAGAGTAAAAGGCGATCATGTCTGCAGAGGCCACTTGCTGACAGCAGTGGAAGAAACAGATTCATACAATCCAAGGTATTAGCCCCAATTACTCAAAATTTTAATGATAGTTTAATACATGATAATGCTGTTGATAATGGGCAATCTTAAAAAGCGCTAACACTTAAATATCTTCTGACCGTTCCCCTTCACAGTCCTTGCCTCTAATATTTGGATCATAATCTTTTTAATATAACATTATTTAGAAAAATCAATTGTCTTAGTTACATAATGGCAAAGTGTTAAAGGACTTAATTTTAGCTCTCAGCAAAATTGCTGCAAAAGGTAATTAAGTGTTTCACACAATTGTTTGATCACTTATTCAGCCTTCCAAGGTTACATCAATTTTCAAAAAGCCACCCATTTTGCTGAAGTCAGAAATTAATTCCAAACATAACAGTAGTCTGATTAATGGAAATATGAACCCAGATTATACACTGAATATTACTGGCATACACTGAAACAGGAGACATCACTTCTTGGCCAATACACTCCCCAAAAAGCCTAATTAAAGGCTTAGCAGATTAGAAGAGTGTTTTAACAGCTAGTGCCACAAAAAAAATAAAAACAGGAAAATGTATACCTACCTTGCAGCAGTAGCTCTAGACTTCTTCTTTACAGTGCCTTGTTTACTGTCTGATTCCCCGTCACTTGATTCTTCATTGGAAGTGGAACTCCCACTACTCTCATCACCACTGCCTTCCTCCTTATCTTCACTTTCACTGCCAGACTTGCTCTCTGAAATAACAACTCCTCTTACATTTTTTTTCCCCTAAATATCTTCCACAATTAGTATTTTAGGATCCAATGCAAGCTTTAGCATTATTTATTTACCCTGTGACAAAAGCAGGCAAGAAAATAACTTTCCCCTAACTTTTACAAAAAATTGTCACATAAAGGTATGCCCTCTTCAGCCTACAGTATTATACTTTATCAAGTTAGAAAGCCTAATTATAAATTAATCGTATGTGGATTCTTTAAAATTTCTTAACCCTGTCAGGAGCTGGAAATGACCTCAAATTCTCTAACCTATACATTCACTTAACTGCAAGATTATCTTCTCAACCAGTTGCTTAATTAGATAATCTGTTCTTGAATACTGATAGTGATGATGACTGAATCACTGATTTAAACAAATTATTCATTCTCTAATTAATCATATAGTTACCAAATATTCAAAAATCTGAAGTGAATGTAGTCTTGCTTCAGAGATCATTAATTTCAGTGATACAGCTCTTGAGCACTTCTGCACACTTCCTGAGCTTAGGAATTAAGAGGGAAGAAGCTCCATATTCAGATATGCCCCTCTAACATTCAACTAGATGCTGATAATTCTTTTAAATCTCTAATGCTAAACATTTTCTGTGTCTAAAGTCCAGACCTGGGAGAAAGATGTTCTTCACTACATTTGAAGTATATTAACATCTACTGAAATGGCTGTCATGGGGACTGCTTATCTGGCATTAAGTGGGAGACTGATCAAAAGAACCTTTGCTCACTGAACTTGATAGGCAGCTGTCAGTTACCTTCTCCATCATCATCCCCATTATAATAAATATAAAATGTGATATAGAACTTAAGAGTTCTACTATAACACAACTTACTGAATAAACCCCTTGTGAGACTACACAGGTAAACAAGCTTGGCCATTTATCAACACAACAGTACATGTTATCAAAATAGTTCTTCATCAACAAAGAATTCCAGAAAACATTGGAGACTCACAATTTGCAACAGCCAAGCATATGGGCACTCTTCCCGCAAAATTTTAGGTGTATTTAGTCTTAATTGGAGTTACAAACTCTCACTACTCTTACTAGACTCGAAGCAGGATGAAAAAAATCACACCACCTTTTTTTAACTGCGAAACAAAGCAAAGTCTAACTCATTTAATAAACACACAAGCCATATCTGTAAAAATGGCAGTTATTGCACAGCTACAGCAAACGTATCATTTTCCTCCCAATTTCTTGATTTTATACATATCTCTGGCTTTTTTGATTTTTTCTTTTTTTCCTGATACTTTAAGTAGTGGCCAGTTCTGAAGATACAGTTCTCCAGGCAGTGGAGATGCAAGTTGGCTTCCAAACAATTACCTGATGAACTGGTACTGGCAGACTCATCTTCCTCCTCTTCTGACTCAGAGTAGAACTTTTCAGTAGGTTTCTCTTTCTTTGTCTTACCTAGAAGTCCAGCCCATTCCTTTGCCTGTAAATAAATTTCAGCTGAAGTTTACTTTTACTACCAGCAACACAAAAATATACACATAGCATGGCAAACACTCATAATAGTAGTCTTAAGAAGTTTCTAAATAAATCCTCTAAGCAAGTCAAATGAAACTATTAAGCTTCTCTTACTTTACACAATTAAGAGAACTAAAAGTACTGTACATACCTATAAAAGGTGAGATGTCTGTTAGAGAGTCTAGAAAAATATTTACTAAAGCAGATTAAAAGCATCAGCAACCATAAACAGATTTCTATGCCAAAAGAACCTGAAGTCTGAGACTTTTCTCTCTAGATTCAGCTGAGTTTAGCTTGTAACCTGAATGAAGGGTAAATATGGCTAGTCACCACCTTTATCATTCTGAATTTTACAGGGAAAATTAGATGTGGACTCAGTAGGCAACAGAAATTCCAGTAGCCATAGAGGAATCACATTTCACTTCCTTTACAATTCTCCAAATAAAACTAATTCTTACCACCAAGAGAACACAAGAATGTGGCAATACCTTGGCCAGACTCTTTTTCTTTCCATATCTACCCTACTACTGAAGAAGCAGGAGAAAAACTCAGGCCAGGAAACAAAACAAATGGGCAGACAACTGTATCAGCAGAGCGATACAGGTCTTCCTCAGTGACTGCTCTGATCTGAAGACTAACTTTTGAAAGAGCTCTAACAGTGACCTGCAATGGTGTGTGGCTCTGGAGACACACTGGCTTTCTCTTAAACATGAAAAGCTGCTAAAGCTTTGTAATGCTACCCCCAGCAACTGCTATTTTAAAACATCAATATTCTTTTGGATAAAAAACACAATTTAATTGCGGACTGCAGCTTAATAGCTCAGCTTCACTCACATACATTTTGTAGGACCATGCAGTATTAGAGGATGACAAAATTAATGGCAATGAGATACTCTCCAAAGAAAATATTTGCAAAAAAACTTGGGGAAAGGATTTTCATTATTTTTTTGAGGTTTAAATGGTTGGATGGAGATGTTTTTTATTATGTTGTCAATAGATGTTACTCAATTTTATCAATTTCCTGCAATACTTTGTTTTTATGGACAAAGGTGCCTCCATACATTTCTTCATGACAACTCTAACATTTATAATGCCTCACTTGACCTGATTGCCTTCAGACTCTCCCATAAAAGCTCTCAGAAGTTTGTACACAAATACCTCTTTTCCTGAAATGTATACAAGAAGGTAAACAAGTAATATTAAATTACGAAGGAAAAATGCTTGTTCTGCCACATTGCTGTTCACTGACTTCTGCAGATATCTCACCTATTTTTTGAGGATTTTCTCTGCTCATTCTATGCCTAACATCTTACATGCACATTAATTCATGTTCAATTTACTGTAGAAGTTGGCTCATGACAAATACCATGTGTTTTTCTGGGTATACCTGTTACACTGATGTACCTCCTGGAGCTCCATCAGCACACCATATTCCAATATATTTATATTTCTGTTACTGTTCAATAGCTTTCACTGACATTCAGTAAGACTCTGGTACCTGATGAACAAATCACAACTCTGGTACCAGAACATGACTTTGTCTGAGAATTTACAATCCAGAAACTAAAAGCTATTGGTAGTAAAATACCAGCCCTGTAATGTCAACAAATTACTAGCTTACTAATAGGTGTAATTTTGCTATCATAAACTTTCCTAATTCTCTCCAGATGATCTGAAATGTAAACCCTGGTCTCTTCCAAACTTGACACTTCAAAACATACATACTTTTTCCCCCTGCCACTGCCTTTTGTTTATATTACATGACTTTTTCTGTTTTCACTTGAATTTGTACACAAATCTTGTACTTTGGTAGTCCAGCTACACTCATCATTAACAGCAATTAACATATTGCAGCACAGCAAATGTAAGAGGTATGAAATCAAAAGTGAGATGGAGGGGAAAAAAGCCCATTTAACCCATGGATGATGCAGGAGTGGCCTACAGTTGATCCACTTCACTCATTGAAAAGAAAAGAGCAAGCATCCTGCAGGTTCCAAATTTTCCATTTCCAAGCTAAAATAATCAGCATGGATGTTCACATGCATCAACATTTTTCAGTACAGCAGACAGAGAGTATTTAAATATTTGTATTTTAGGCTAATACTCTATATCGATGAGTGCCTTGAACAAAGTTACTTTTAATGATGCTGACATACCGACTCGGTTACGTCAACATTTCGGACAGAGGGATCAGGCGCCACCTCTGGCCAGTCGGACAGCTCCAGGTAACCAGTGGCTTGGCTGTTCAGCGTGTGAGACAAGGTGCCAAGCTGGAAATTATCCCGATCTATTAAAAAAAGGGGGGATGGGAGAGATACACAAACACCATGAGCTCTACCACAAAGAGCAATCTTAATCGGGGCTAAAGGTAATTGCCATTATATTACCTCAAATATCATGGAATAAATATAAACTAGGAAGCTCTTCATAGGTCAAAAAACTGATTTCAGTCCATAGATTATAATAATCTCCCCCATAATGGTCAATAAAAAAGCTAATCAGTCAGTGTGTTTAGAGGTGTTGCTCTGAAATGTAGCTTCTCTAAAAATTACTTTACTGTGAATATTAAGAATGACAGCACAGTTAAACAATCCATATACTTGTCTTGGCACAAACACATCCAGAATTTTAATAGTGTTTCTTCAAAATGGAGCTCCTTTTATAGCTTCAAAACTGGGACTAAGTAAGTACGAAAATTAAAACTGCAAATTGTTACAATAATGGAGCATTTTTATTAAGATAGCCTGATAATCTTTCAATTTAAGAAGAAAGACAATAGTTCTTATTTGCAAAAAGATGGGGAAAATGCACAGGTAAAATTATGACTTTGGAGAAAAATCATAAAAACCTGATCTACTGAGATTCAATTTATTTCAGATTCATAAAACATTTGCAACACTCACATTAACAATCTTCTATTAAAGTCCAGAAAAATGACTAGAGTTATTTTCCTAAGCAGAAGAATAGTTTTCCTTAAAAGACACACCTACTGTTATTGAAATAAAATTTAAAATCCACATGAATAGAAATGGATCAGTTCATCAGAGTTTATCATCAGAGAAATGCACTGTGTCTGCACCATGCAAACCTTGCTTGCTGAAAAGCAAGTAAGCAGATCAAGTACCCTTGCATATTAATCATTTGTATTCGCTAAGTGACACAATTTGTGAGCATATTTGAAATAGAATAGGCTGCCACATTCCTTTACACAGTGAACATTTACCAAATGATTTTGGCAGTTATACCTTTAAAAGGAGACTCAAGCAACGGAGCAGGTTTCTGTGCCAGAAATATTTTTTTGGCATATTTGCTTAAAGCTCCACTCTTCTCATTCGGAACAATAAGCTGCCTAATAAATCTTGTACGGTCTCTGATGTCATAGCTTTGATCATACTTGCCGAGATTTAATACATACTGGGTAAGCAATTTTGTCTGTGGAAAAAAACAGGACAAGAACAGAATACAAGTTATTTATGATTATTGATAACTCTGGATAAACATATTTAAAGAGGTAATAAAAATGAATGGTTATGTCAAACAAATGTTGTTCCACAGGGAATATGTGTTTCTAAAGCTGCAAATGGAATTTTGAAGCCAAAGCACATGTCCTCTTCTGTATTGGGGAGGTGAATGCTGAGTACTGAGAAGCAGCCATGTGCTAGATTATTAAACTGCTGAAGTGGAAAGAAAGGCATCATTAAAAAAATAATCATATATGGCAAACCCGCTGAAGGGTCTACGTGAGGATAATGAATGTGGAAATACAACTAAAAACATGGCACTCAAAACTTAATCGGAAAAATATGCAGGACATCAAAACATCAGAGGATATTAGGGGGCTGGCAAACTGCTTCTGCTGAGGTGTGTTTTATGAAGAGATACTGTCCCTGGCATAAGCAGTGTCTGCACTCTGACTGCACTCAGTTACTTTATCCTGAATTATGACCCATTAAAGCAGACACATGAATCACTGAACTGGATTACTGCAAATTATTTGCAGTGCATTTAGCTGTTACTTTTTCATAAAAGCAAGCTGCTGATGCCCTCTAAAAACCAGGATAAAAGACTTCTTCCATTTTTTTTCTTGAAGCTTAAAGCCTCCAGTAATATCGGTCATTTATTTATGTAAGAGAGCAACTTACACAACCACAGCTCTTTACAGCATAATAGGACTTCCTAATCTGATGTCTGAGAATATTAACATGTATTAAATAATTTTAATAATTCAGTTAAATTTTAAAAAATAAAATAAAATAATCAGAGGTACTTTCCTGGTATCTGAGTATAACTGTAGTGTAACCAGAACAATACTGCTGTGCAGACTTGAATCCAATTAGACACAGCTGAAATAAGTATGCCACTTTCTTTACACACAAGCAAACAGGAAAAAGAACAAAAATAATAGAACATTACAAGGAAGTAAATTTTTAGTATTTCACCTCAGAATGGATGTAACACAGGGTTAAAAAAGTGTTGTCAGGGAGGATTTCTTTTCTTTATACAAAGAAACAATCTTGCATATATATCTTGTTTATTGTGCTATTGTTATAACGATAACACAGTTTCAATCATGTAAGCAGAAAAACATGTAAAAAAAATCAGTCCATTTTGTTATCTACAATTTACTAAGAAAAGTTCAGTTTAATATTTTCCACCTTAGGATGCAAGTTAAAGTTTTTTCTAGAGGTCTAAAAATACTTTTTCAGAATACTGATTAACTCCTATAAGGGAAACCCACAGTAAACAGAAAATGCTTTTAATTTTAACCATATACAATGCAATACAATGTATGCAAGCATTTCACAAAATACCATATGGTACCAATGACTTGAAGAAATTAGTCACATTACATTAGAATAATAGTAAAAGCATAGTTCTAAAAAAAACCTTTCTGTGAAATATCTTTCATTTCTTTTTTCTGTCTGACACCCAAGGATGGTTCTGTGAAAAGATTTTTTCCTCCAAGGTACTCTCTTACCTCTGGGAAAGGTAAAACTTTCCCATACATATTTCATAGCTTATTTGAAGCTATTTCTGTATCAGGGTATACAATTTCAAACAACTGCATCAGATAGAACATACGTAATCTGCACTCATGCGGGACTCATGCTGTTCAATCTAATTGGAATTAGAAGGGTGGGTTCCCAGGTAGCATGAATTAAACTAAATGAGAGACACCTCCTACAGCCTTTGCCATCACTTCTCCTCTGTGAAACAAAACAAGAGTCCTTGCTGTCATGGCAGAAAGCTCAGCAGAATGGATCATAAAACAGTGGCCTTTGCTTGTGAATACTGCTTGGGAAAAGTTGAGCGCCTTGCTATTGTGGTGGCAATTTATTAGTGAGCCTTGATAGAATTAGACAAATAGTTGATCCTGAAAGACTGCATTTTCTTTAACGGGATCATTTTCTCCATGATCCTTTCCCTTTTCCTTCTCCCTTTCCTCTCCCATAAAATATCTTTTCCATATCAACCAATACAGATAAAGACAAAATAAATTTACATGGAAGAATACCCCATACTGCAAGAAGCCTCCTTGTAAGCATCATATATAGTATAAATAGTTTTCAAGAAAACACTATTTTATTTTATTGTCTTATGGCAGTGCAACCAAACACATAGCAAAGCTTTTCTACATGGAGGTAGCTAATAGAAAATTAATTTTAATTAAAAACAAGAAAATAATGAATACACATCAGTTTTACAAACAAAGGAATATCCATAAGAAGCTGAAAATTATTTGAACAACTATGTTAACCTGGTGAAATATGACAGAACCCACACACCATGACTGCTACATAGAACAGTAAGACAAAGTATTCTGGCATATGATATAATACATTTATTATCATATGTCAACATCACCTGTTGTCTGGACATGGTCATTATATAGGCATAATATAATTTATTTTATCCCCATGCTGTCAGAATTTATTACTATTGTTTGTACATTTTAATTTGGCTAATATGAAAAGTATACTTCAAGTCAGCCTACAGCAATGTTTCTAGAATTTTCTAGTTGTAATAGTTCTATTTAATGCCTATCCTGTATTAGCAGCAATTAAACTCTTGGTAGATACCCAGTTGAAAAATTCTGCAATACAAGTACCACCAACAGATGAGGCCCTAGAATGGGAGAGAAACAAATGTCTATCCACACTTCAGTAACATTAGCTTGATTCTTTAGATACATAAGATAAGGCTATTGTATAGACATATCTCTTTACACACTAAGACTACTCAGTACTTCTTCTGGTGGAACTCGTACTGTGTTACACAACAGAAACACATTAAAATCTCTTGAATCTTCCCGCTGTATGCAAGAAACAGCTAAGGCAATTAGGTGACATATTTTCTGCATAATTCTGCTCTTACATGAGCTCCATTTAGACAGCTAACACATTCATAAGGATTTTTATGTCCCTGAGTGATGAAAAATGAAGCAAGTTTACCAAACAACATAAACAATCAGAGGAAAGCCTGTTATTATTACAACTTTATCCAGACAGGATTGAACCTGAAACTCTTCCTTAAACTATAAACAGCTTTTCAAAATTCATGAGGTGATCACAGAATTTAAAGGATATTGGTAATTCTTATTAAAAAAATCCCAAATCTTTAAAAGCATTCCTTAATTAGATGCAGTAAGTGTTTAAACATATGCCCTAAGGAAATGATCAGCAAATAAGGTATTTACAGACATATAAAAAATAACCAAGTCTTATTTCCTCCAGAATTTTGTGCTTTTCTCCAGGCAAGACATAATACATGAGTTTTATCTGCCTTTCCTTCACTTGGGGAAAGAGCTCTTTTTGTCTGGTTGGTTGGTGTTGAGTCTCTCCTGGCTATACTATCACTGCTTTTCAATAAAGTGACATTGTATCTTTGAGATTTTCACAATCTCACCGACTTTGGATGAATCTGATACAGGATTCAAAAAAGCAAAGAGAAAACATGGGGATGAAGAGAGACAGATAGACTGACAACTGAGCAGTCAAGTGTACAAGCTTTGCATTCAAGTTTGAAAAATTAAGACTGAAAAATGGCTGGACTTTTTAGGAACTGAAGCAATTCCAGAAAAAAATGTTTTAATATTGAGTGAGTAATGAAGAGTCACTCCTTGGAATAAGGATGTAGACATGGCAAGAATGTTGCTAGTCTAAAGGCAAAACCATCATGTTCCAGTTTGGAAGGAGCTTTGAATGGAGTCAGTTCATCAACCTACTGTATTCAAGTTTTGTGTATGAGTAGCTTAACTACATGACAAGCAACTTATTTTCCCAAAATCTGAAACGAAAAGAAGAAAATACCCTTTTATGAAATTCAGCATTCAGTAGGCATCTCAGGAGACAGTTTCTTCTGCTTTATCATCATTATTATATTTGAAGAAACAGTTATGCAACATTTATAGTGACCGTTTAAAATGTATTAAGATGTTAAAGTGGAAAAAGAGCATCACAGAAATCATCTCTGTGTTGGCAATGGAATTTTGTCCAAATGTGGTGTGGAAAAATTAAAGTAAAATTACAAGAAAATAATTGTAAATTAGTAAGTATTATCTAATGGGCCAAAAGGAGACAATTTAGACAAACTAATTTTTCCTTAGTTCAGTCAGCATTTTCATTAAGATGAGCATTGACAGAAAGAAGTCACCTTTTCTTACTGATACATTTTAGACTGTATAAGCAAAGGACAAGCACCCATTCTCATCTGAATGCATGGCAAGACAGTTCATCTCCAACGTGCCCTACAGAATGAAGTTTCAGACAGATCAAGTCTGCAGCTGGATATAGCTACCAAGGAATGAGAAGACCCCACCAGATGCACGAGAACCTGTACTGTCCAAGCTATTGTAAAACAAAGAGGTTTAGCAGCCCAGGAAAATGTACACACCTCAGACAAAATCATAGAATCATAGAATACCAGGTTGAAAGGGACCACAAGGATCATCTAGTCCAACCTCTCAAAGCAAAAGTATAGTTTAAATTAGTTGAGTCAGCACCCTGTCAAGCTGACTCTTAAAACTGAGCAGTGTAGGGGAATCCACCACTTCCCCTGGGAGATTATCCACTGTCTGATTGATCTCATGGTAAAAAAAATTCTTCTGGAGTTACTTCTACATTTGGAAAAAAACCAACCTTTGATTTTACAACCTTTCACAGCAGTAATTGAAATCACAGTGAAAAATTAGTGTCAAGATGCTATATTCCATAGTCAGAAAGTGACAAATTCACACTGTTGTCATTGAGAAGATTGAGGCAGCTGGCACCTCTCATAGCTATTGTTTTCAGCTGCCTGGAGATTTAAGTTCACCTTTTTGTACTATGTAACATTTTTAGATTATCTTTATTACCACAAGGTAAAGTGAAATAGTAAGAAATACAGAAAAAGGGAAAGCAGTAACTATCTTTAAGATAAGCACTGATGGAAGGACATAATGAAGCCTTTTGCTGGCATCTTTTAGATATCCCGAACAAAAAAACGAGCAGTTTCTTGTTCAAATTGACTGTAATCCCTTGAAAATTCTGGTCTTAGATCCAGAAAACAGCAAATTACATCTGGAAAATCTCCAATCTGATATTAGTAATACAATTTACAAATGTTTCCTACTTAAGTGAATTAAGAAATCCACTATTTCCCAAGAAAGAGGTAAAAAAGAGTGATCTCATTGCTACATTCACATTTATAATCCAGCACATGCTCAAAGGCTCCTAGTTACATTTAGTTTGTTAGACTAAGGGTCATGGAGCAGATCATCTTGAGTGCCATCTCACAGCATGTCCAGGACAATCAGATGATCAGGCCCAGTCAACATTGGTTTATGAGAGGCAGATCCTGCTTGACTAATCCGATCTCCTTCTATGACAGGCTGACCTGCTTAGTGGATGAAGGAAAGGCTGGACTTCAATAAAGTCTCTGACACAGTTTCCAACAGCACTCAGTGGATAAGGAATTGGCTGGAAGGTCACATCCAGAAGGTACTGGTCAATGGCTCAATGTCCAGATGGAAGTGGGTGACAAGTGGTGTCCCTCGGCAGTCTGTACTGGAACCAGAGCTGTTTAATATCTTCATAAATTATAAAGGCAGTAGGATTGAGTGCACTCTCAGCAAGTTTGCAGATAACAGCAAGCTGAGTGGTGTGGTTGACATACCAGAGGGACAGGATGTCCTCCAGGGGAACCTAGACAAACTGGAGGGGTGGGCCCATGTGAACCTCATGAGGTTCAACAAGGACAAAGTGCAAAGTCCTGCACCTGGACAAGGGGAATCACTGTTATCAGTACAGGCTGAGGGCTGCATAGTCTCTGCTTACTGCAGGGGGGTTGAACTAGATCTTTAAAGGTCCCTTCCAACCCAATACATTCTATGATTCTATGATGTGACACAGAGCAGCCCTGTGGAAAAGGACTTGGGGGTACTGGTGGGTGAAAAGCAGGACATGAGTCAACAATGAGTGCTTGCAGCTCAGAATGCCAACCATATCTTGTGCTGCATCAAAAGAAGTGTGGCCAGTAGGGTGAGAGAGGTGATTCTGCCCCTCTGCTCTGCTCTGGTGAGAGTACCTGGAGTATCTGGAGTCATGTGTCCAGTTCTAGAGCCCTCAGACACAAGGACATCGAACTGATGGAGCAGGATCAGAAGAGAGCCATAAAAATGATCAGAGGACTGAAGCACCTCTCCTATGAAGACAGGCTTAGAGAGTTAGGATTGTTCAGCCTGAAGAAGAGAAGGCTGTGGGTAGCAGCCTTTTAGTACTTGAAGGCGGCTTACAAGAAAGCTGGGGAGGGACTGTTTACAAGGATGTGTAGAGACAGAATGAAGGGCAATTGTTTTAAACTAAAGCAGGGTAGATTTAGATTAGACATTAGGAAGAAATTCTTTACTATGAGGGTGGTGAAACACTGGAACAGGTTGCCCAGTGAGGCAGTGGAAGCCCCATCCCTAAAGATATTCAAGGTGAGGCTTGATGGTGCTCTAAACAGCCTGATCTATTAACACTGTCCCTGCTCACTGCAGGGGGGGTTGCACTAGATGACCTTTAAAGGTCCCTTCCAACCCCACACATCCTATGATTCTATGAACATTCTGTTGGAGAAACTGGCTGCCCACAGCCTAGATAAGCATACACTGTGGTGGGTAAAAAACTAGCTGAATGGCTGGGCCCAGAGAGTGGTGGTGAATGGACTGAAATCAAGTTGGAGGCTGGTCACAAGTGGTGTTCCCCTAGGGCTCTGTGTTATAACCAGCTCTGTTCAATATCTTTATCAAGAACCTGGATGTAGAAGGCTCTACAGAGAGACCTGGACAGGCTGGATCAATGGGCTGCAGCCCATTGTATGAGGTCCAACAAGGCCAAGAG